TATTTTGCTGGATCTACGTAATATAGATGTTCAAGTTGATGACGAGGATGCTGCCCTAATCCTGCTGGTTTCTTTGCCGAGTTCATATGAGAATTTCGTTGATTCTTTTATTGCTGGTAAAGAAAGCGTGTCGTTGGAAGATGTCGGTCTGCTCTTCATACGAGAGAGATCAGACATAAGGCGTCCGGATCTGGTACAGGTGGTGAGGCATCGGGTTTGGCTGTTACAGGTGGAAAGGGAAAGAAGAAATCTGGTAAAGGGAATTCGAACAAGAATTCCAAGGGTCCCGGTCCACAGCCAGGTGATGCTTGTCACAACTGTAAGGAAGTGGGGCATTGGAAGTACAACTGTCCCAAGAGAAGAGGGCAACAGAAGAAACAAGGTTCAGTTGCCGTGGCAGAAGTGGACAACAGTTCTGAAGACGATCTCGCCTTGGCTGTAGATGAGAAGGCACATCGTGGGGATGTGTGGTTTCTGGATACTGCAGCCTCATACCATATGTCTCCGAACAGGGATTGCTTCACAACCTACGAGCAGATAGATGGTGGTAACGTGGTCATGGCAAATGGAGCTGTCTGCAAGGTTGTTGGAATCGGGTCCATAAAGGTTCGGGCACATGATGGTTCGTTCTGTACCGTGAATGATGTCAGGCATGTTCCACGAATGACAAAGAACCTGATCTCCTTGAGTCTACTCGACAACAAGGGTTTCAGTTTCAAAGGAAAAGGTGGAGTTGTGTATGTCTGCAAAGGTTCAAGGAAAGTGCTGAAGGGCGTGAAGCGTGGGACCTTGTATGCATTACAAGGGTCTGTGTTGTCTGGTTCTGCTGCAGTTGCATCATCTCAGGTTCATCAGGAAGATATGACCACTCTCTGGCACATGAGACTAGGGCATATGAGTGAACGAGGGATGCAAGTTCTGTCGAAGAGGGATCTTCTTTGCGGGCACAAGATGCAGAATTTGGAATTCTGCGAGCATTGTGTGTTTGGGAAGCTACATCGCAGCAAGTTTCCCAAGAAGGGTATCCACCGGACGAAGGGGATACTAGATTACCTCCACTCCGACTGTTGGGGTCCTTCACGAGTTGAATCCATTGGAGGCAGCAGGTATTTTCTGTCTATTATTGATGATTATTCGAGATTTACTTGGATTTTCATGATGAAGCAGAAAAGTGAGGCTTTCACGAAGTTCAAGCAGTGGAAGACATTGGTGGAGAATCAAACCGGGAAGAAGATCAAGAAGCTGCGAACAGACAATGGTCTGGAGTTCTGTAATTCTGAGTTCAACGAATTCTGCAAGGATGAAGGGATTGCCCGTCATCGGACTGTGAGAGATACACCTCAGCAGAATGGCGTTGCAGAAAGGATGAACCAGACATTGTTGGAGAGAGCACGGTGCATGCTCTCTAATGCTGTACTAGAGAGAAGATTCTGGGCAGAAGCAGTGAACATGGCGTGCTTCCTGATCAACTGTGGACCTCACACAGGTATCGAGTTGAAGACTCCTTATGAGGTGTGGTATGGTAAGCCTGCTGATTACTCTTCACTGAAAGTTTTCGGGTGTCCTGTTTATTATCATGTGGATGAGGGTAAACTGAACCCAAGGGCAAAGAAGGGTGTATTTGTGGGTTACAGAGATGGAGTTAAGGGATTTCGAGTCTGGTCACCTTCTGAGCATCGAGTTATACTCAGTAGAAATGTGATATTTGATGAGAAGTCTATGTTTAACCCCATGTTGAAGGTTACTGTTGTTGAAGGTAGCAGGAATGTTGATAAACAGGTGGAGCTGCAAACTCTCAATGAGAGTGAGTTTGAGCACCAAGGTGGAGAAGATCAACATGATGAGGATGTCTCTGCAGAGCCAGAAACTTCAGAGTCCAGTGCACGAGCTCAACAGTCTATTGCTTCCGGTAGACCGAAGAGAGCGACTGCAGGAGTACCTCCACAGAGGTATGGCTTCGAGGACATGGTGGCGTATTCATTTCAGGTTGCTGAAGAAGTGGATGCAGGAGAGCCACGGTCCTATAGAGAAGCAGTTTCGGGTGGTGAAGCTGATCAGTGGCTTGCCGCAATGGGAGATGAGATGGAATCCCATGACAGGAATCAGACTTGGGAGCTAGTCAAACGACCACAGGGAAGGAAGATTGTTACAAACAAGTGGATCTACAAGAAGAAGGAAGGAATCACTTCTAAAGAGGGCATGAAATTTAAAGCTCAGGTGGTTGCACGAGGCTTCTCGCAGAGGGAAGGAGTTGACTACAATGAGATTTTCTCACCAGTGGTCAGACATACTTCGATCAGAGTGGTACTAGCAATAGTGGCACATTATGACTTGGAGCTCGAGCAGCTAGACGTGAAGACAGCTTTCCTACATGGAGAGTTGGAGGAAGAAATTTACATGACTCAGCCAGAAGGATTCGAGGTTCCGGGAAAAGAAGACTATTTTTGTAAGTTGAAGAAGTCCTTGTATGGACTTAACCAGTCTCCGAGGCAGTGGTACAAGAGATTTGACAGTTACATGCTTGAGCTGGGCTATAGCAGAAGTCCATATGATTGTTGTGTGTATCACAACAAGGTGGAGGATGGTTCGATGATCTATCTTGTTCTGTATGTGGATGATATGCTCATAGCTGCAAGGTCAAAGTCTGATATCCAGAAGTTAAAGGGGCTTCTCAGTGCTGAGTTTGAGATGAAGGATTTGGGAGCTGCTTAGAAGATCTTGGGTATGGAGATTTATAGGGACAGGTCGAAGAAGAAGTTTTTCTTGTCACAAAAGAGCTACATCCAGAAGATACTGTCGAGGTTTGCCATGTCTTCAGCAAAGCCCTTAAATACTCCTAGTGCTTCTAATGTTCATCTCTCCTCAGCTTATGCACCACAGTCAGAGGCTGAGAAGGAGTACATGTCGAGAGTCCCATATGCTAGTGCAGTAGGTAGCTTGATGTACGCTATGGTATGCACTAGACCTGATCTTGCACATGCTGTTAGTGTTGTCAGCAGGTTTATGATACAACCTGGGAAGGAGCATTGGCAGGCTGTGAAGAGGATCTTCCGGTACCTTAAGGGTACACCTGATGTGGGGATTAGCTTCGGAAGTGATACAGAGTGCTTGGTGTCTGGGTATTCTGACTCGGACTATGCTGGAGATGTTGACACGAGGAGATCGATGACCGGTTATGTATTCACTCTTGGGAGTTCTGTAGTGAGCTGGAAGGCAACTTTGCAGTCGGCGGTGACATTGTCTACTACTGAGGCAGAGTATATGACGTTGACAGAAGCTGCTAAGGAGGGAATATGGTTGAAGGGACTGGTTAGTGATCTTGGTCTACATCATGATCAGGCAGTGGTGTATTGCGACAGTTTGAGTGCAATATGCTTGGCCAAGGATCAAGTCCACCATGAGAGGACTAAGCACATCGACGTGAGGTATCATTTCTTGAGGACAGAGAAGAGGATTAAGGTGAAGAAGGTTGGCACCGCGGATAATCCTGCTGATATGTTCACGAAGCCGGTTCCACATGGCAAGTTCCAACACTGCTTGGACTTGCTGAATGTCTTGAGTGGGTGACTCCGCCCTGTGGGGCATTGATGGCGGGAGAGAGATAGAAGGAGCAGAGTACATCAGAGGTTTCAGAGGAAGAGGATTCAAGTCAAGGTGGAGATTTGTTGATGTGACTTGAATCGGACTATCAACCGCTACGACTGGTAATCGGGGGTCTCGCTGTATGGGCTCAATGTTATTTGGGTTAGGGTTCTAGGCCTGGTCTGTAACCATTTCCTTTGCCAGATTGGATTAGGTTTTAGACCCACATGGAGAAGTACTATAAATACTTCTCATACTCCTCTGTAATCTCCTTGATATAGTGAAATTGGCTCTCTCTCGCCCGTGGACGTAGCTAACACACATCGTGTTAGTGAACCACGTAAATCGTATGTCGTGTTTTCGATTCTCGCTTTCATATTCTTGCTTTGTCGATTCCTGCGATTTCCCGATCCGTAGCAGCGCGTTTATAACAAAACACATTATACAACTTTGACGAACAACCCTCAATCATGTCCGGATTCTAGATTATGTGACCAGTTAGTGTCGTGGAAAGGTCAAACATGTCATATGACCTAGACCATGCTGTCCGACCTAGGCTATGTATATAGGTAATAGGAGTTCGAAACATCTCAATACAGTCTATACATTTGGTGCAGGTCACTACTACTCACGTTCCTACATTTGGGTTTTTTGCCAGCCATGACTGTCCTGTGTCCTCTGTTCGAGGGTTAAAAAACTAAGGTTGTTGGACATAACATATATGATTCTCGAGATGTGGATTGTATACGATCTTGTTTGCTGTACATACAAACTGGTCTACTCTGATGGGATTTGCCGTGAATCGCGCAAAAAACAGAGAGCCAGTTGCTACGAACTCCATTTTAGGGGAGAGTTCATCTTTGAGAGAAATTGTTCTTTCAAAGGCATTATTAACTGTTAACACGTTCTGATTAGTGGCTCCAATCTTTTCTTTCATTCTTGTCTCGTTACCCAATTATGCAGTTTCTAAAACTGAGGAATAGATCGTCCATTTTGAATAGCGTCAAGAAAAGGTAAGTGAACCTTCTAAAACAGAGTATGTAGGGGCAGAAAACTTCAGCATGAAAAGAAAAGTAAATGAAAGTATCTTTGAAAATTTAAAGGTAAACAGAAAAGAAGAAAGAAAACTGAAGCATCCATAAAGCAACATGAAAGGCTGAAACCCCGTCATGATTTTCCCTTCAAACCCCAATGTTCAATTCAACTAATTCACCGTACACTTTCCTCCTAAATTAATACGTGTAATCACGTATTTATACATCTAGTCAATATAGTTTGTCGTATCTTAGAGAAAGATCAAGTGACAAAACCATTATAACACTGTAAATTTGAGCATGTACTTAGGTCTCTCCATTAGTCATGATTCATGACCAAACGTTTGTATTGTATACATCGCAAAACATGAATGCAACAATCGCACAATCATTTATTTTTTTCTCTTTTTTCACACGTACACCATAACCATCTATTAGTAAATTAATCATTTGAACACATAGTTACCAGCGAACAATGCAGTAATGTTTACTCTTATTCCGCAAAAACATCAAATTCATTTATATTCGAACTTTCTTGCTAAGTGGATGGTACATAAAACATTCTCAATTTCGTAATCAAAGATTAACAAATAATGATGCATGCATTTACAAATTAGTCATATCAATCGATCTCATGACAACCGTGACTCAGCACATACGAATTACTACAAATAACTATCACATTCACCACCTTGAAAACACCTCCCTCTCTCCCTCTGTAAATTGTCATCACTCACCACAAAGATCCATCTCTTTATTTTAATTCCTTCCGCTTCTCTCAAAAAAAGCTTGTCCCCAAAAGAACAGAAAATTCGCCTCCCAATCTTTTGTAATTTTCCCCACACGCCCCAACAACAATTTCGCTTCCTCAGACGCAAAAATCCAAATCCCCTCCACCAGACCACCACCGTCTTCAATTCAAATTCCCCTCACGGCCTCCTCCACTCTGTACTATATATACACTCTCCCCACAAAATCCGCCATTGAAATTGAACCAACCCACCTTCCCCATGGCCTTTTCAATCCGCCGCCACTCTGTTCCCCTTTCCCTCTTCTTCCTACTCTTCCTGCTACCCAAACTCTACTCTATCGATTCGAAACCAACCCACCAAATTTTCGCCCTGAAAACAGAGACCCACCACCGGATTCCCAATTCCAGGCTGTTCGGCACCCTCGCCGCCGGTTCCAAATCCGACAAGATGCTCTTCCACCACAACGTCTCCCTCACCGTTTCCCTCACCGTCGGGTCGCCGCCGCAGGCAGTGACCATGGTGCTCGACACGGGTAGCGAGCTGTCCTGGCTCCACTGCCGGAAATCCCCCGGATTGAATTCCATATTCAATCCGTTGGCTTCCAAATCGTACGCCAAAGTCCCCTGTTTCTCGCCCGCTTGCCGGACCCGGACCCGGGACCTATCCATACCCGTCTCCTGCGACCCGGCCAAGCTCTGCCACGTCGCCGTCTCCTACGCCGACGCTACTTCGATCGAAGGCAACCTCGCCTACGAGACGTTTAGGGTCGGTTCGATGACCCGACCCGCCACTCTGTTCGGGTGCATGGACTCCGGGTTCAGCTCCAACTCCGAGGAGGACGCCAAATCGACCGGGTTGATGGGGATGAACCGCGGCTCGCTTTCCTTCATCAACCAATTGGGCTACACGAAATTCTCCTACTGCATCTCCAGCCTCGGCTCCTCCGGCGTCCTCCTCCTCGGCGGCGGCGCCGCCTCCTTCTCGTGGCTGAAACCGCTCAAATACACCCCGATGGTGAAAATCAACGACCCGCTCCCGTACTACGACCGGGTCGCCTACACTGTCCAGCTCGAGGGCATAAAGGTAAACAGCAAAATCCTGCCCGTGCCGAAAACCGTCTTCCAGCCTGACCACACGGGGGCTGGCCAGACCATGGTCGACTCGGGCACCCAGTTCACGTTCCTGCTCGGCCCGGCCTACACCGCGCTCCGAACCGAGTTCCTCGCCCAAACCAGGCGGGTTCTCCGAGTCCTGAACGACCCGAACTACGTGTTTCAGGGGGCCATGGACCTGTGTTACCTGATCGACTCGACCCGGACCGCGCCCCCACCCGGCCTGCCCTCGGTCACCCTGATGTTCCGGGGTGCCGAGTTCAGCGTGTCGGGCGATAAGCTGTTGTATCGGGTGCCCGGTTCGCGAAGGGGCAGGGACTCGGTGTGGTGCTTCACGTTCGGGAACTCCGAGCTGCTCGGGATCGAGGCGTTCGTGATCGGACATCACCACCAACAGAACGTGTGGATGGAGTACGATCTGGCTGGGTCGAGGATTGGCATCGCTGAGGTCAAGTGCGACGATGCCGGTCGACAACTTGGGTTACATGATTAGTGAAATTTAGACACGTGTTTGGGAGAAGCATTGTAAATTAGTAAAAGGGTGGGTTAATTTTTGTGTGTGTGTGCGGAGTAGAAGACACGTGTTTTTGCTGTCTGATTCAAGGGGTTCGTCTCAGGTGGGTTGACCGGAGATGGGCCAGTGATCGGACAATGGTGGCTATGGGGGAAGTAAATATCGGAATGGTTTGTGGGTTGGGTTGGGTTTCCTTGCCTTATTGTACATTAGTGCGGATTTCTGAATCAATTTCAGCCTCACAAGAAAAATGTCGACTGCTTTACCCTCTTTCTAACTCTAGAATGTGATCATAATCATATGATAGTGCTTTTTCGTACTTTGTTTTGTTTTTGGAGTTAAACCAAATAAGAAAGCAAAAGGAATTTTCTTTATTCACACGTATAAAGTACGAATGACCATACCTGTTTCATGTCAGGTTGGAGCTAGGTTGAGTAATTTAGTGCGAGGCACACATAGATTCATATTTGTATAATACTATAATTTAAAGTGTAAGAAAATCGAAACATTAATCTTTTCATAAAAAATCGAGGAACAAATTAGAGTATGATAAATGTAGGTAAATTATTAGAGAAATTGGAATTTTTATCTACTTAAAATTTTATTGGTGCTAAAATATGAGGTATTGACGTACAATTTTAATTAATTTAAATAAAATTACGTGTAATTTAGAAAAACTGGATCGAGAATGAGAGGATCAGGCCAAGTCGAGCATGGTAAAAAAAATGAATAAAAGCAAAGTGACCAACCATTCCTAATTTGGAAGATAAGGTACCAAATATTTATTAGTTGGGTTTCTGTTCTGCGTTGTGACATATGAAGCAAGCCAGTTGTTGTTGTACGCTCTGAACTCTGAACATCGGGGCCGGATGTAAAAATTGGCGCAACTTTTGTATTTCAAAATAAAAAATAAAAAATGTTAGTTTATGGTGTTATGTGTAGCAGAGAATCTCAGTGGGTTTGGTAAGGCTGCAAAGCCTCTGTAGTGAATCATTCAATAAGAAAATATCGTGGATAGGGAAGAACAACTTCACACAAATGACACAATAATACTTATTTTCATCAGCCCAACCGTGAGAGGACGTGGACAGACAATAGTATGCTGATGTTTTTATCGGATCGCGGGTATCGAGACTTCTCAATCGTCCAACGTACATCTCAGACTCCACCGGTGGTCTTGTAACGCAAAAAAAAGTAAAGTGATAATTTCAAATGGCGCATATATGATTAGCTAGCTCTAAACACTGAAATGACCGATCTCAATGATTAAGTGAGTGCCTAATCCGAAAGATGAGTCAGTGGTCATGGTATATGGAAGCTCAGAACACTCTCCGAATTGGTGATAATAATCAATTGGATGCCAACTAATGGGATCAAACAAGAGTCTTGGACTTGTGAAACAATGAATCTAACAATTGCTATTCGGTGTGAAGCTTAAGAAAGATGAAGTTGATAAGGTGTTGGTAAGAAAAACAAGTATATCTATGTCGATGGGCAGGGTTTTTGAGTTGGTGGGTGCCAGCCAGCCAGCCAGCCAGCCCATTTCTCACTGGTGCAATTGCCCTAGTGGGTGAAGACCAGACTGTTTGTTGGGATGGCTGCTGCGGCTAGGTGATGAGTGTCGGATGGGGATAGCCATAATCTATGCTATTGCTGTTACTATTGCTATTGCTACGCCAACAAGTCAAGCACAGGGATCGCTGCAGTGGGAAGGGAAAGAAAGACCAATATTATACTCTAAGATACGAAACCAAAGCAGTGGTAGGTAGAGAAGGAGTACGACTTCAGCCTGTCTGCTACTCTACTCTGCTCTGCTTCATATTGATTTGAATTTCATATTACGCTTGTTTGGTGTTGTATTCTCATTTCCAAAGATGGATTTAAGATAGATGAGCACCAAAACTGAAGTAATCATTGACAGGGCTAATCGATTCTTTGTTTTGCACGGGTCTTCAAATTTATGTGACTTTGGCATTGTTGCTCTTACCATTTGATGAGATGCGGCTGCTTTGTAACCTATGTGTATGTTCATTTTGTAGGTGAAGCTGTTCATAGGAGCGTTAGTTTTCGTGCCATAACCGCAATAAAGAGTTTCGGAGAAATTCACTGCATCGTTGTCATCTGATTGCTGCTTGAATTCGGTTCATGACTTTCACCCTGAAAATTGTTATGAATTCTGATCGAGTATATAAATATAATAGAACTACTCATGTCGTAAAAACCAAATACCTGCCAAGTACATTATGTTGGATTGAGAAAATCATACGCAGAGAAAGAGAGAGGCCAGAAATAATAAAAGCGTAGCTTTCCCCTTTTGTTTTCATGAGTGGGTTGTTGCCTGGCAAACGCTTTGGTCTGAACCGGAAGGAGTGCTGACTACGGATTCCTGCTGTTTGTTTTGTTCAATGACTGCGCCAGCCAGCCGGCCAGGCTGGAGCTTGTGCTTTACTGCTCACCTCAGCTCAGTTGCCGTGTGGAATCGAGCTCGAATCCCCACTTCCAACTTTTTTGAAACCTGTCTGTTCTGTCGCCTCACGCCATTTGAGAAAGAACACAAAACAAAGAAAGAAAAAGGCTTTCTCTTTCTGCTCTCCTTTTTCTTTATTTCCTCCTTCGTTTACTTCCATTTCGAACTTCGGGGAAAAGGGGAAACGACAAAAATATGTCTTAAGTTGCTGCTGTGATAATTAAGTCTCTTCTGATTACCCCAAAAAGAAGGATTAGTCAAGTTGTTAGGATATTGTTGCGACAAATCACCAGGTCATCAGTAAATCTAAATCCACTTTAAAGCATCTCACTTGAGACTTTGAGCTCCTCCTAAGAAGTAAGAACCAAACTCACGGGCCAATGCAACTCACCAAGAAGTTCCCAAACTACTAAATAAGGACACTCAAACGTCCTACACTCATAGGCGGAGCCAAGGGCAACGGAATTGTTTCGGTACACAAGGCAACTTTTGGGGAAAATAATATATATATATATCAATTAAGGATTGCACTCATCACATTTAGGTAATATAAAAATGAATTATTACTACACTACATGTTATTTCAAGTTTAAAAGCTAACATAAACTAATTTATCACACTATAAACAAAATTCACAATACTAAAAAATCAATCTCTATGTCTTTTGTGGTTAGTTTTGACTCTACTCGTTGCAACTGCAAGTGCAAAAAGAACATTTTCAGCTTTGAGCTATATCAAAAACAAAGTTTCAAAGTCGAATTGCGACCAATTTGCTAATGGTTGCTTAGTCGGATACATTGATAATTTGAAAACGTGTTGTAAGTGCTTATGAAAATAATGATTGTGTTAGTCTAGTATTTCATTAATATCTATCAATGAATTATTTGAATATTATTAGTTTTAATTATATATATTAAATAATTATATATTTATATTATGTAAATAGGACACAGGTACTTTCAAACTCTGCCTCCGCCACTGCCTACACTCAAGTAAATCCTTTGTCGGGAAAAAAAAAGCGTCCTACCTAGGAGGCTTCTCTTCCTTTTCCACATTCAGCATACATGGTCGTCTATATAAACTATTATCTCTTTCTGATTTACATACCACATCTATATGTTGTATTAACTTAGACGTCACACAGTGTATCGAGCAAAATTTGTTGATTTTCAAATCAATAGTTTCATTCATAATTTTTAGAATGGTTTTCATGAAGATTATCCTTTAGTAGCATGTTAAAATCGGGTCTCTTAATTTAGTAGAAATACCATATCAAAAGGACCGAGACTAAATCAAGAATATGCACTCGTCAATTAATTGCACAAACAAATTTACTTCGATGAGAATAATTGCCAAACAAGTTTGCTCTTTAATCTAGAGGTCCCATTTTTAATATCTTTGAATAGCATGTAAGGATAAAATCAAACTAATATGATCCTCAGTAAATCTCACAACTAAATTAAACAATTTTCACACGGTCTCGTCCATTGTCTCAAGCAATCTCATACCAATCTATCCGAGTACTTTTTCTGGCGTGACTATTAATATGGTTCGAATGTCTAATTAATTAATTATATAAAGACCAAATACACTTGTATAGTCAAAACTTTGACGGTTTTGTCAAATATAGCCACGTTTGGCGAATACTAAAAATAGCCACTTTCGTCCAATTGTTTGATGGTGTTAGTTAACGTGCTGACTGGACTAACGAAAAAGCTGACTTATCAACCGTTTAGTCAATAAAAACATGAGGTGGAATTAACAGAAAAAATAAAAAAATATTTATTTTCTCTCTCTCCCTCTCGGTTCTTTCGCCTGCATCAAGAGGGAAAACAGATATGAAATCTTCTATCTTCTTCCTCTCTTCTTCCTTACACTGCGGGTGAGTGTGGCGGTGGCGAGACCCCTCTCCCACCACTCGATTATTTTCCCACCGACCCCTAGTCCCTCCATTCCTCCTTCGATTCGGCACAAAAACGATTGAGTAGACGAAATAGAGCATTCGCGGCATTGTGAAGGCTGAAGAGACGACGGCCGCGACGACGCCGGCTGCGCAGCTCCTGTCGCCTCGATTCGCTCCATTCGCCCGATAGCTTTTGGCCATGCTGCGAGGACGGCGTTTGGTACAAGCTTCCGCCGGAGTTCTTGAAGGAGGCTCATGGCGAGGATGAGCTTTTGGTTGTCTAATTACGCCAAGTTATTGAAGGGGCCTTCTTGGAGCTCCGGCGGCGGCGACTCCTACTACTTCTGGTATAGATTTGACTCCCCTCTCTGGATGGTTCTGGAATTGGGATGGTTTGATTTGGGGATATATATTGATTGGATTGGGGGTTTTGTTGTTGGGGAAAGGAAGATTGTTGTAGAATCAGATTAGGGGTTCTTTGGATTGGATTAAAGATTTTTTTTTTGTTGTTGGGGGTTTTGTGGCGGGGGAGAGGCTAGTATGTTTGAAGAGGAAACGCTTGAGGGAGGAGGAATAGAGGGTTTCCAACCGACGGTAAAGATCTAAATGGTCGTGAACCGACCCGCCTCTTGCTATGTTCTTCAATCTCATACCTCTTTCTTCTTCATCTTCCCTATGTTTTTCTCTGTTTGAATGTGTTCGTGTTTCTGTTGGTTTTTGCAAGTTGATTTGTTAGTTTATTTCCAGTTTGTTGTTGGTTTTTGAGGTTTCAATTCTCTTGATTTGCTGTTTCTTCCAACTGTACACTTCTCCATCAGATCACCACGTTGTCGGCGCCGAAAATTCGCTTCTCATAGCAGGGGAAGTGGAAGAGTTGGAGAGAAGGGCGGCGACCACTAGTGCTGGTGGGAGAGGAGAGAAGATGTGAAAATAATTTTGAGTTTTTGTTTATTTTTAAATTAAATATGACATGGCATCCATGTGGCAAGTGTTGCTGAGTTGTCAATGATGTGTCCGTGAGTTAACAGCCATGTAAGCGTTCTGTTAATTTAACTAACAGATTATGTAACAGAAATGGCTATATATGTCATCAAACTTTCAAAATTCTGACTATTATTGACATTTCCTCAAAAATTGCTATTATTATCACAAACGTCAAAGTTTTGACTATACAGATGAATTTGGCTTTATATAAATAAATCATATAAAGAACAAGTCTAAATAAAAACGTGGTGTCAAATTGTAATTGACCACGTTGGATCCGAACAAGATATTGGGAGTGGGCTAGGCTGGGAACCTAGTAAGACGGTAGCCTCGTCATTCACAATCGTCGGAAGCCCACGTGTTGCGACTTCCAATCCATCCCGCGATGTCATCCACATGTGAGGTGACAAATTTTTATAAAAAAGAAAAAAAGAAAAACAATAAAATAAAGCAAAAAGAAAACAAAAACCCCACCAAGGTTGTCAACCCGCGGATTGACCCGGACCCGGTCGAGCTAGTAGGTCAAGGGTTAATGAGTCAACCGTTTTAGTCTGGTTTGGCACGGAAATATGGAAAGAGCCATTATATTGTACTTATCCTCATAAATTATATAAAATCTTATCTAACATATGAGTTATAACATATAATAGTACACCAAAATATCATATCGTACTTAGATACAACATATAGTGAAAATTCACACACACTTATATAACATAAATATTCAAATGTTCAACTTAGGTTTCCAAAGATTGAGTTAGGCGAAAAGAAAAATCGAAAAATAGGCGCATTTCGCAAACAAAAAAAGACACAATTTGACCTCCGGTACCTTGTAGTGGTCGGCCCGACATGTGCGTGCGGCCCGTTTTTCTCACCGGGTCAGGATCAAATTGAGTCGACCCGCGGGTTGACAACCTGACCCACAAATGTTTATTTAATTATTATTATTATTTGCCTCGTCGCTTCTCGCCGCCTTCGCGGGTTCCACCATTGATGACCTTCTCTTCTCCATTAGTTCTTCCCTCTGTACAAATACAAGCCCACTAGTCCTATGAAAATATCATCAGAAACGGCCCACAGTTAATCAAAACAAATGGTCCACAGACAGGCAGAGGATTGCCAGAAAGTGCTCCTGCAGTAGTAGTTGTACCCAAATGATCAATGTCGGGATATAACAATGGCCCCTCCTTAAACCCCATTCTCAGCTTTTTTTTTATTGAGAAACGGATTCATTCAACCGCCTGTGATGAATGATGTGGTTCCCATTGTACGATCAAACTAGATGTTTTGCCCTAATTCTGAAAAAGGGGAGCACAATGATATGATGGTGCTAGCTTCTATTCTAAAAACGGAGGAAAAAGTGGCACTCTGGTTTGCCTTTAATTCATGATAAATTATCACATAAGATTCTCGTTGATTATTTAAAGGTTGAAGATGTAAGGATGTAAAAATCTAGCCGTGGATTATGATCTCAGTATTAGTTCTTAAAATGTAGGATAATACAATATATGAGACATAACTATTAAATATCGAAAAATAATATTCATAACTATCGAAATACAAAATAATAGTCATCTGTTAAGTCTCTGTTAACACTTCCGGTAGATAATGTTGAGTTGGTAGATGCTACGCTGACGTGGCAGTCAACAAAATTGCCACATAAGGTGGTCAACCTTGTAACTTATTAATTAATGATTAGGAAAAAATAAAAAAAATTCCCCCGATTCCGATCATCATCCACCTATCAATTCGCCCCGCAGGTCGTTGCCATACAAGCTCCAAGAACTCCGACACACGATTCGAAAGCTGGAAATCAAGCTGAGCCGAGCGTCTCTCCGGAACAACAATCCGGGGACGAGCGTCTCTCCACCCTTTTCCACACAGAGAGGTAGCAGCAGGGCCGATTTCGCAGAAATGGAGAATCTGATGTCCCAATTCACCCTATTGGCGAACGAACCCCCTGCAAGACAAGCACTTTGATCCGTCCACAATCGACTTCAATCTTATGAAGTTGTTCGAATTGGAGGCCTAGAAGGCGTGGGCGGTGGAGCTAGAGCACAAGCAGGAAGTCTGGGAGGCAAAGAGCTAGATTGAATCCGTGGAGGAGGAGCTGGAATTGACAATGGAGGTGGCGATGGAGGTTCGAGGAGGAGATGGATGTGATGGCGAAGGCATAACTGGAAGGGTTGGAAAGGACGGCAGAGAAGGCGAGGAGGATGGGGAAAGTGATGGAGAAGGCGGCGTCGGTGGCTTCGAAGAGGTACGTTGAGGCGGAGGTCACCTACCTCGTGGAGAAATTATTTGCCGCGCTGGGGATTGGAAAAAAGTTTTCTAATTTTTTTGATAATAATAATTAGGGTTATTACATTACTTTGGCCTGAACTATGACCATATAATCAACTTTGGCCCGTGGTTTCAGAAATTAACATCCTGACCTCAACTATGCAGCATATAGACTCAATTGGCCCGACACATGGTCTGACCGTCAATTTGGATGGTCAACCTCGTTGACCGTTAGTCAACACGCCATGTCATTGCCTCGTCAGCCTAAAAAATATTTAAAAAATCAAAATCAAATTATTTTTCTAATTTATATTATTTATCATGTTCAAATTAACCAAAAAATAGAATTTAAAAATATAAATAAAATTTATATTTATTTTCTGGGATATTTGAAAATAATAAATTTTATAAATTAAACAAAAATTATCAAATTAAATTTTATAAATATGATATAAATAATATATTTTATTTTTTTAAAGTTAAATAAATAACATAGTTTGATAATTTTTTGTTAATATATAAAATTTATCATTTTCAAATTACACAAAAATTAAAAAATAAATTTATTTTATGTTTTTTATTTATTTTTTGTTAATTTGATTATAAATAATAAAAATTTAAAAAATAGTTTGAATTTCAATTTTTTTTATAATGTTTATGTTGACATGGCGTGTTGACTAACGGTCAATGGAGTTGACCATCCAAATTGACGGTCAAATTAGGTGTCAGGCCAATTGAGTCTATATGTTACATTATTGAGGCCAGGATGTTAATTTCTGAAACCACAGGCCAAAATTGATTATATGATCATAGTTCAGGTCAAAATAAGGTATTAACCCTAATAATTACTTAAATAAAATATTATTATTTTAATGTTTTCTAATATAGAATGCCGACGAGGCAGTCTCCCTTATAACATTTAACAGAGTAACGGACAGTTAGCCATTCCATGATTCACAACAATAGTTTTGGCTAATAATGTGTATTTCGATAGTTGTGGCTATAATTTTCCACTTTTTAATAGTTGTGGCTAATATATTGTATTTAACCTAAAATGTATAAACATAGGATTGAGTGACCAATCCCTTCACCAAAGGTAAGATAGTCTAACGGTAAAGCTGCCGCGACAGTGAAGGCTTGGGAGGTGCAGATCCCAGGTTCGAATCCAAGCGAATTCCGTTGGTGTTCCCGGAGGTACAAGGCTGCTGGGGGGCGAAGCCCCCGTTGGCGTCGAATTTGATTGCAGGTGGCCCCCGGATATGAAGATGAATTATTATTAAGAAACAAATACACGAAACATATAGCAAATTATGTCATGCTAATCCTCATGTGGACAACCCAACCAAGCAAACACAACCCTCAACTCCTCAAATGCTAACCTATCAGTCATGGACAGAAAGTATCCCTCCCATGACTCGTCACAAAACATGTAGACACAACTACCAGCAGCAATCAACAGAGCAAGTTCAAGGATTCTGGGTCAATCACGAACAAGGGATTGGTCTAGAGGTAATATCACTAGCCATGAACGTGGAGGTCCCAGGTTCGAGTCCCTTCAGTAGGACCTAATAACAAAATAGTAACCTATATCACCCTTCTCTAAAAAAAAGGATTCTGGGCCAATCGACTGTACGGACAAGCCTGTAAAAGAAGAGAGTGCCAAGCTTCTTTATTCTCACTACTAATGGTTCCTGCTGATGAGATCCAATGAAGAAGGTTGCGTCCAACTTTGTGAAAAATGACATGCCATGGCCTCCTTTTCTCCTCGAAGATTCTGGCGTTCATCTCGCGCCAAACCTCCCAACAGTAAGCATGAATGAGGCATTGGCTGAGACATTCAAACCATGTAGATGGTTCCTTGCAGGGCAAGCACTGAATAAGTGCTTTTACACCACCTCGAAGTGGCACTTGAATCTTAAAAACCTGCACAAAAAGAGACCATATTCTTTTTGTTGTAGTTACATTTCATAAACATATGCTTCACTGATCAACATCATCCTCGCACATTGCACATCTGCTGGCCAGCTTCCATCCACGTCTCATTAGGTTATCGTGGGTCAATATCTTGTTGTGAAACACCAACCAAATAAAGCTCTGAATCTTGGGAGGCACTTTTGCTCTCCAAGCAGACTTAAATGGAAAGTCTTGGTCTCCAGGGAACTTCTTGTTGATTTATATTTTAGAGTACCTTTCTATAAGTAGCCAGTTTAGCGTCTAATAATTAGGTTTAGTGTTTAATTCCCATATAAATAGCCAAGCTCGGCTATTCCTCTGTAACGAGTTTTGAAGATAGTGAAACCTCTTTGGAGAGCACCGCCTCTCCCGTGGAGTAGTCCTGCTAGTCAGGGATACCACGTTAAATCTCTGTGTTCGTTCGATAGCGTTCTCAATTATTGACATGGTATCAGAGCCTTCTATGACCGAGAGGTCTTGTGTTCGATTCCTGGTGACCCCATTTGTTAAGCACATGGTATTCTTGTCTTCATACCTGTCCAAAATTCAAGCCCTTGTGAGTGGCTTTCATTTGAGGGGGCGTGTTAGTGTTGTGGATTCTTTGGGTTCAGATTCTTTGGGTTCCAAGGATAGTAGTAGTTTTGCAGTTGTTGATTCGAATGTTTTGGATAATTCTGTGTGGGATTTATGGCACAGTCGGTTTGGTCATCCTCATTCTGAGAGGTTGAAGGTTATGTTTAAACAGAATTTGTTACCGTATAAATTGAATTTGTTGAAGCTTGATGGGTTATCTGAATGTGTTAGTTGTATTGAGGCAAAGGCCTCGCAGACTTCATTCTCGCCTAGTGACACAACTTATGAGGCACCTTTTGATTTGATTCACACCGATCTCTGGGGGCCATCTCCTGTTCTCTCATGATTGGGGTACAAGTATTTCGCTTTGTTCATTGATCACAAAACTCGGTTTACTTGGGTATATTTCTTGAAACAAAAGTCCGAGTTGACCTCTCTGTCTCGAGAGTATATTCAAATGATCAAGACGGAGTTTGATAAAACGATCAAGGTTCTCAGGTCGGATCCGGGAGGGAGTTTTCATCTAAAGAGCTTGTCGAGATCTTCAAGTCTGAAGGTATTTTGCCGCAACAATCTTGTCCTCGCGTTTCACAGCAGAACGGAGTAGTGGAACGTAAGAATCGTCATGTATTGGAGCTCACGCGTGCGATTCTTTTCCACTCTCGCGTTCCTATTGGTTTTTGGGTTGAGGCCGTGCATACTATAGTGTATTTGATTAACCTTCAAATTACACCATTGTTAGGGCCAAAATCTCCATATCAGCTATTATACTCGAAGTCTCCAGATTACTCGTTTCTCCGGGTTTTCGGGTGTACGTGTTTTGTGTTGCTGCAACGGAAGGAACGTCATAAGTTGGCTCCGAAAGTGGTTCGTAGTTTGTTTGTTGGATACAGTGACAAGCACAAGGGTTATATGTGCTATGATCCGGTTGGTCATCGTATGCGCATTGCTCATCACGTCAAGTTCATGGAAAAGGAGTTGTATTATTGTGCTTCTCATGTAGAAGCAAGTTCTGCTGCTACTCTTGAGTTTCTCACTTCCCTGCCAGAATTTGATAATATTTCCTCTCTTCCTCTACCACAAGAAGCAACCATTTCATTTGTGTCCAACGAGGATAGTGGACCATCTTCCCCTGACGACACGTCGACCACCAACTTGTCCAGTGAAGGCTCCTCTAGTGGCTCCAAGTCCCCTGGACAAAATTCATCATCCTTGAGTTCTTCCTCAAGCAGTTCGGATCCAGCCTCATCGAGTGCCCCTTTGGGTAGTGAGTCAGAAGCATCGTCAGCCGTTGGTAATGTTAATTCACCAGTCCAGGTCCAGATTCTCTTGCGACGATCAAATCGTGCGACGTTAGGAAAACCACCGATTCGTATGCAGGACTTTGTTGGGTTTGCAGTTGAGCCCGTAGTCATTCCTAATCGTTACTCAGAAGCTGCCAAGGATCCTAGGTGGAATGCTTCGATGAAAGTTGAGATGGATGCACTGGAAGAAAACCGCACCTGGGAGCTTGTGCCGCGGGAAGATTGGATGTCAGTTATCCGCAGTAGATGGGTATATAATGTGAAGATGAACCCCGATGGAACTATTGAACGGTTTAAATCTCGGGTGGTTGCGCAGGGTTTTAAACAGGAATACGACATTGAATTCGACAAGACCTTTGCACCAGTGGTAAAAATGTAGACGGTTAGGTGCGTGTTTGCTGTAGCGGCGATGCGAGGCTGGTCTATGCTTCAACTCGATGTGAAGAACGCCTTCCTTCACGGCGATTTAAAGGAGACCATTTATATGGAGCGACCACCGGGATATGAGAAGGGCGATTCTACTATGGTGTGTAAGTTGGTTCGATCTTTGTATGGGTTAAAGCAGGCACCTCGGGCATGGTTTGATAAGTTTCATGGTACGATTATTCAAGCTGGGTTTTCTCAAAGTTAGAATGATCCTTCTCTTTTCACACGTGAAATGGTTGATGGGATTGTTGTTCTATTGATCTATGTGGATGATGTGATTATTACTGACAGTGATAAGGGAGGGATTGGTGATGGTACGCATGCTTTGCAACAGGCGTTCAATTTGAAGGAATTGGGTGAGGTGTCTTATTTCCTGGGTCTTGAGGTCAATCGGTCGCCTCATTGTTTGTTTGTGAATCAATGGAAGTATATTTTGGATCTTTTGGAGTCAGTTCAGTTCACAGATTGTGTTCCATGCTATACTCCTATGGAACAAAATCTGAAGCTGAGCCGAGATGGGGGAGAGTTGATAGCAGATCAGTCATTGTATCGCAGTCTGGTTGGCAGCCTATTTACCTGACTCATAAGAGACCGGACATCTCCTATGCGGTTCAAGTGGTGAGCCAGTTTATGGGCATCGCGACTGACCTTCATCTGGCGGTGGTTCATCGACTCTTGCGATACTTAAAGCAGACTCAGGATGTTGGGTTGTTGTTTCCTGCAACAGGAGAACCTACAGTGGAAGCGTTTGCTGATGCAGATTATGCTGGTTGTGTTGATACTCGTCGATCAACTTCAGGTTGGTGTATTCGGGTTGGTCAGTCCTTTGTGTCATGGCGTTGCAGAAAGCAGGATAGAGTTCCGAAGTCATCCACTGAGGTAGAGTATATGTCGATGTCAGAGGTGAGTTCTGAGATGGTATGGCTTCATTGGTTACTTGGAGAATTGGGTGTTGCGTGTCGAGTCCCAATGAAGATATATGAGGATAACACTAGTGCAATCCAGATTGCTATTATTCCGATTTTGCATGAGAGGACAAAGCACATTGAGGTGCATGTTCACTACATCAGACAACTGGTGGCGGAAGGCGTAATACAGATGGGCTATCTCTCTACTGAAGATCAGACGACAGACTTGTTTACTAAGGCAGTTTCTTCAAGTAGACATTGGTACTTATCTTCCAAATTGATGTTGCAAACCGCACATCAGTTTGAGGGAGGGTGTTGATTTATATTTTAGAGTACCTTTCTGTAAATAGCCAGTTTAGCGTCTGATAATTATGTTTAGTGTTTAATTCCCATATAAATAGCCAAGCTCGACTATTCCTCTATAACGAGTTTTGAAGATAGTGAAACCTCTTTGGAGAGCACCGCCTCTCCCGTGGATTAGTCCTGCTAGTCAGGGATACCACGTTAAATCTCTGTTTTCGTTCGATAGCGTACTCTATTATTGACACTTCTCTGCAACAATGATTTTGTACATGGCACAAACTGTGAAATCAGAATGTGCCTTGTGATTCCATGCTAACCTGCAAGGTCCATAAGAAACCCAACCGTCGGGGATATTTGAAAGTAAACTGTAAAGACTTAATCTCTCACATTCAGCCCCTCCTCTCAAAGAAACAGACAGGGGTATATCCCAACTCCTACTCTCAGATGGAAAGAACAGAGTATCTTGCTCTCTTCCGAATTTGCATATAACATGAAATCATAATAACAAACACAGGCTGCTTTTGCCTCTCCGGCAAATATTTTTCCTCCATCGGTTTAACTAGACCATTTCTCCAACATATTTATAGTCTCATATAGGAATGGAAAACAGTATATGATTTAACTAGACCAGTATCACCCTGTTTTTCATATGCGAATTGTGTCAATTTACAACAAGAAATTGGATTGGATTGGATTTGAAACCATTTGAACCATAAGCGGGTTGGATTGAAAACGATTCGGTCCGATTTTAACCCAAAAATCGAAAAGACACAATTTTCTTCCTAAGATATCGAACTAATAACTAAAAATACATAAAAATATAAAATAATAATAAAATTTATTTCCTTTGCAGTGAAAGTAGGGCGGAGAGTAACGAGCAAGACGTGGTGGTTGATCATAGTTGGTAAAAAGAAAACTAAGTTTGTACGATACAAATACAACGAAACTAGTTTATACGGTCTGATTTCGATTAGAAGAAAAAAAGGGACTGAATTCGCAGCCCTAGTCTCATACGCCCACAACTACTTTCTAGACTTGCAAAGATAGTTTTATCATTGCTGCTCTCGATCCTCTTCTTCTTGACCAAAACAAATGTGTTATTTTTTGTGTGGCTGGTTGTGCTTTCGAAGGATTTGCTAAAGTTAGTCTACGAATCAATGGAAGTGGGTTCGTCGGATAGCAATCGACATTGTTTCTCATGTCAGTTATAAAAGAAGAGTCTCCCACCGGAAAAGTACCGTGTTAATATAGTTGCAATAAGGAGACTAATCCATCTAACTACTCTCACTTCTCCGGCGACCTCACGACGAAAGCGTCTGTGAGGTTAAAAAATAAAACCAGAAAAAACAACCCAGAAAAAGGTAAAAATATTATTATACAATTAAAAAAAGAGGAACCAATATGCCAAGCCCGACGCGTCCGAGTCAAATCGCTCCGTCCAACTCGTTCTTCCGTCTCCTCGGACGCCAAATTTCCGTCATCGCTATTGCCCCAACCACCATGAATTGAAGATTTTGATCAACCGATTAGGCCATCCATCGTTTTTTCGCCTCCAGATCCGGCGCCCTTTCATCCTCCGCGCACAGCGTAAGTTTTCCGTTATCTTCTCCCTTCCCTTATCGTGTTTCTGTTGCTTTGATTTTGAGGCTGTGGTTTTCCGGTCGCAATTTGGCAGTGGGGTCAATTTAACGCACCGTCGCCGGAGAATAATCGGACAATAACCAGAAAGAGGAAGAAATCAGAATAGAGGAGGAAGAAGAAAAATGAGTTTTGTTTTCCGCGGGAGCAGAGGTGAATTGGATTTAGAAAATGGGTTTCCTGGATTCGTCCCTGAGCGCCGAGCAGTGGTGAGATTTCTCTTCTCTTCTGTTTCCTGATCATTTCCGGTTGCTGCTTTGAATTGATTTCACCTCCGGATTGTCTGTTGCAGCGAGTTCATCCGATTCGGCCGGTTAATTCCAACTCGCTTGTATTCCTCGTCACAGGTATAATTTTGTTCTTTGTGTTGGGGGGAAACAAAGTCCATCTCTTTATGATTTGACTGCATTCCATCTTCCTAATGAATAATTTGTCAAATTGGATTCATGCAGTTCTTTTGTTGTTCATGATATTGAACTCACGCCAAATGCCTCCCAATTTTCTGGTGATTTCCTCCCTCGTTGCCTCTTCACAATTTGTTAACTTACCCCTTTTCTGTTTGGTTCTTGACGATTTTCGATGTGTTGTAATTTGCGGGTGTTGGGTTGCAGCTATGGCTGGTGCTTGGTGTATTTTTGATGGCCACAGTCCTGAGGATGTATGCAACCTGTCAACAGCTGCAAGCTCAAGCGCAAGCTCATGCGGCCCTCGCCAGTGGGCTACTTGGCCATACCGAATTACGGTTGCATATGCCACCGTCCATAGCTCTTGCAAACAGGGGGCGTCTACAGGGCCTCAGACTCCAGCTTGCTGTACTTGATAGAGAATTTGATGACCTGGGTGAGGGGTTTTGTTTTTTAAAGGAGTACCAGGGGTATCTTGATTATGATTTTTGATGGATTGGCTCTTAGGCTCTTGGCTGACTGTGAGATCAGACTCAGAAGTTTTAGTGAATGTATGGTTATGTTTTTACTATCTACGGTTCTGTTTTTGGCAGATTATGAAACTTTGCGGGTACTGGATTCTGATGTTGTTCCCACCACATCAATGAGCGAGGAAGAGATAGATGCCCTTCCTGTTCACAATTATAAGATTTCTTGTCCTCAAAGGTAAGTTTCCCACGTGTTGTTTAACTCGCCTAATGTTTACTTTGGATAGCTTATGCCAGCCAGAAGCAGCATGAATCATACCCTTGTCCTTTTACTTTACTCAGTTGAGGTTGGACACTCCAGTACTTGGCAGCTGATCACATTTTGATTACTACTGAAATAGGCATCATCCAAAAGCTTTTCTCCTCTTTTGTTCTCTACATTAGCGGAGTTTCATGTTGTGGTGGCTGTGCTTTTCATTTTGATTGATTGTTGCATGACTGCATACAAAAAGGTGCGGGAGTTGTTGTTTCGCGTAGTCATTCACAGTCTCATGTCCTGGTAAAACATATCTGCATATTCAGTCTGTGTTAGCAAGAGAGATGCAGAGTTCTTAAAATGAAGCATATAGGCTTCCATCACGTCTGTATATGCAAATAGCTTACAGCTATCTAGTACTTTGCTACTCCATGAATTTCCATTATGCTGCATTTTGCCTCCAGAAGAGCTTCAAACATAAGAGCTTCTCTTTATTTGACAAGTATTTGCATCTTCTTTCGTATGGCAGTTCAGTCCCTCCAGTGCAACAAGCATCATCTTCCATTTCCACAGAGGTACAAGTTCCTTAACATGATTTTTGTACTTTGGTGTTTAATGTGAACTTAGTGTTCCGGACAAGTTACATTACGTTCTTCATTCTCATTTATGCCTGTTAGATATTTGTAGTAGCGCTTCATTCTCTCTGTTCGGTTCGTCTCAGTACCAATGCTCATGTGCTTGCAGCCCAATCGGGCAATTAGTAGAGCTGATTGCTTCATCAGTAGGGACTTTTGAAGGAGTTCCTTATCCAAATTTTACTTTTACATAGTGTGAAATTCTATCAGCTTGCATATATAATAAAAGTATAATGAGTAACCATAAAAAAAGGTATATTGAGTTTTCAACCCACTTTAGCATAGGAAAAATTTAGTTGCAGCTCATTTTAGTCATCAGCGGCGTTGAATATTCGTTTCATGTGTTACTTTCGCTCTCTAGCCAAAGAAGCATCAGGAGACATCCCATGGGATTGGTACCTTGAAGGCTTCAGAAGATGAACTTACTTGCAGTGTATGCTTGGAGCAAGTGGATGTTGGAGAAGTCTTACGTACCCTCCCATGCTTGCACCAGGTCCTGTCCCAAGCTGTGCTTCATTCAGTTTACGAATGGCTTCTTTCGACGTAGTCAATACCGTGGCCTAATGCTTAAAACACATGCTTGATTTGTATTTTTCCCCCCCTGCAGTTCCATGCCATTTGTATTGACCCATGGTTGAGGCAACAGGGAACATGCCCAGTTTGCAAATACAGGGCAGGATCTAGCTGGCCTGAAAATGGACAAAATCTGGATGCTGCATACATGGTTTAACTTTTAACCTCTGCATCAATTGACTCAGTCTACCCCTCCAAAGATGTAAAGAGAAAGAGTTCACTGGAGTTCCTATTGAACAAAGATGGAAGGTCTGATTAAATAGTTACTGTGTCTGTGCCTAACACTGAGATAAATCTTTCCCTCAGATTAGGGCACGCTGCAGAAAGGGTGCGCATTGATGTATTTAGTAACATCACAACATTTTGTAATTTAGATTAATCGGGAAGTTGGCAATCGAAAATCACCGTTATTATAGTATCTTCATACTTCTACTGTGAATTCAAAATGATATCATACTAGAACGATCTGGTAGTACAGGTACTGGTAATTTATTGATGCGAATGCTTGCTCTAAGTGAGTCGACAACTACACTTGAGTTTCGAAATACAACAATAGAGATGAACTAAAACTGGGAAGGAAGAGGGAACATATCCTACTTAGACTTCCCTTTACCCTTCCCTCCGCCCTTCTTTGCATCTAGTTTGGCCTGAACGCGAGCAGCGGCTGCAGCTTTGGCTTCTTCTCGCTTCTTCTTCTCTTCCTCTTTGACCGCGGCTGCCATCTCCCTTTGCTTCTTCAGCTCCCTGAATTTGGAAGTGTATTACCACCGATCAATAAACAAAAGCTTGTGGATACAATTTGGGGGAAGGTGTAAGAATAATAAGCTGCTTGCTTACTCTAGCCTAGCTCTCTCCTGCGAAACACTGCTCATGCTGGAACCTTTGCGAGGACGGCAAGCCACAAGCTCCACCTCAAAAACAAGAATTGCACTGCAACAATGGGAGAAGAAAAAAAAGGTGCCTCATCAGAAACTAGATTCATCTCACGATTTACCTGGCTAGATAGTTTCTGTGTGGACTGTATAGCTATAGCATTACTCTGGTGGAATATCTGGTGGAGAGCCTGCTCTGCCATAGGCGTACTCTGGCTTGCAAGTGATCTTTGCAACTTCCCCCACCTGGAAATCAGTAAGAAGAAAATTTTGTGAACACACAAACGGGGAAGTCAGATTTTTTTCAGCAAAGAGAACAACATTTCAACATAACTATACCTTCATAGTTCTCAATGCAACATCCCATGCCCGAATCACCGAGCCACTTCCTATTTCGAATGAGAAGATGGTGTTGTCTTCATGTGTGGTGTCGAAGACTTCCCCGGTGTCGGCTAATGTCCCCTCATAATGAACTGCACAAGGAAGAAGAGATGGAGATCTTAGTTTACAGCTAATCAGTACACAAGATGATGCGAATGTACCCTTTGGGGATCACTTCCATCAGCCAGAAAGAAGGAGAAACGACTTAGACCTCATTCCTGGTTTCTCAAGATACAACATCAAACAAATCTACATATCAACCTAACAAAAGTGCAGGGTCCTCATACCCCAAAAGTTATTGCAGAGATAAAAAAGAAGATGAAGAAAATTTCCGTGAACAAAAGTCTATTCAACTCCAACAGTAGCAAGCTTACCATCAACAAGAGGAAGATCCTCTGAAGGCTCAACTGCATCGGCTTTTGCACGCCTTACAATCTTCTTCATGACACCTCCGTCATCGGTTAAATCAATTGCATCACCCATTGCTTAGACAATTCTTATCAAAAATACAATTTCAATAGAAAGGATAAATCAGAATAAACAGCAGCAAACACTATTATATGTCCACCAGACACTACAAAATTCTTAGAAAGAAGACGGGGAATACCTAACTAATCCTACACAAATCTAACGGACATGTCAATTTCAACGGATAATCATTTCAAGCCCTTTACATTTCACACACACAGTTCCCATGGCGCACTGTTCTCAATGCCAGCCTTTGACTATACTGGAAGCTCTAATAAGAACCTAGTAGATTAGGGAATGAAGTTTCCCTACTCCAGCCAGAACAATAAACCTCAATGAGAGTTCAATCTATCAAGTCAAACATTCCCCAAATTCGCTAACGATTCTGCACCTCTACCAGATACAGCAGCTCTGTCTCAGAAACTAAGTAACCCAGTTCGTATTTCTCTTTAGAACACCCAAAAGAAGGTAAATTGGAATCAACCACTGGCAAACGCCCCCTTCCTAAACAGAAATCGTTCAAATTCATGGATGGAACTTCACAGTGAACTGACCGACCTGTTTCAGAGACTTGGACCAGCGTGAGGATCGGAAAGGAGAGGAAGCAAACTAGGCGAATCGCAGAAGCTTTGGGGAGGAAACTCGGCGTCGATGTCGTTGGCCATAGGCGTCTTGAGTGTCCTGATGAGTTTCTTTCAGCTGCGCAAGAAATGATGCTTTGGGTATTTGTCCTTTCCGTAGGGAAACGATATGCACGCGATGCGAGTGACCTATGCTAGCGGTTGGAAGCATATTCGCCGTCTTGGGCTTCGTTCAATTGGGCCCATTGCTTAGAAAGAAAAGCAAAAGGAATATTTGTTTTCTTACTTCAGAAAATGGTTATTACTTAGGGTTAATACCCTAATTTGGCTCGAAGTTTGGCGTGAGTGACATTTCTGATCCCATTTTTTAAATAAGACATTTATGACATACTTTTGAAACTATTGGACAAATTTGGCACAAAATTTTCTTTGACCGTTAATATTGACGGTCAAACATTATTCCGTTAGTGACTCACCAAAAAAACTGATGATGTGGCATGCCACGTCATTAAATAATATTATTTTAATTTTATAATTCAATTAAAATAAAAATTAACAAATTAAGAAAAATCCCCAAAACCCCAAATCCAAACCCTAGTACTTAATGAAACTCCATCGCCGCTTCACCTTGGGACGAGCGGCGGCGGTCGCGGCATGATGAACCTGGTCGTCTCCGTCGAGATCCTCCGTACAGAATTAGGGATTTCAACCTCCCGTCGCTCTAGCCAATCAACTAAAGCCGCGACTGAGCTGCAATCATTCTTCACGACCCGACTCGGGAACAAATTAGGATTTTTTGGAGGCTATTATTGAGGTAATTATTCCTCTGCCTCTCACCATAGCACTCATCATTACTCTGGAATTCGTAGCTAAATGGGACGTCGTCAGAGTTCTTGGTTTCTACATCTTCTCCTTGACCTGAATTGACATCTTGCCGGAGCAATGGCATCTCCGTCTGAGAATCCATTTCTTCACCGACCCTCTCTTCTTCTAATCATCGGTGACGGAAACCGGAGGATGCCTCACCAACACAGCCATGGCCCCTAGCGAGTTCGACAACACACAACAGCCCCGTTATGCTATCCCAGCTAGCGTCACGACCTCCCCTTTCTCTTTTACTTTACCTTCCCTTTCCGCTCGGGTTCCGCCTTCAATGAACCCAGATCCGCTGGTGGCGAGGGGAAGGCGAGATCCGATGAACCCAGATTCGGTGGAAGAAAGGAGTAACCCAAGCGCCAATGTCTAAAAATGCAAAGATTCACCCTGCGATTCTCTATAGAAGAAACCAGAAGAAGGCTCTTCGATCTGCTTCTTGGTTTGGACTTGTTTCGTTGTCCGACAGAGGAAGGAATCAGAGTAATCATAATTCAGTTTAGGAGAAGAAGATGAAGATAAGGAACGTAGTTTTTTAAGGATTTTATTTAAATTGTTTTTAATTTTTAATTAATAAGTGATGTGGATGCCACCTCAGCACTAGATGTTGAGTCATTGACAGAATAAATGTTTGACCGTTAATATTAACAGTCAACATAAGTTTCGGGCCAAATTTGTCCAATATTTTCAAAAGTAGACTATAAATGTCTTATTTGAAAATTTAGGCCAGAACTGTCATTTACGCTAAACTTCGGGCCAAATTAGGGTATTAACCCTATTACTTATTAGTTATTACTATAATCTGCCACTCTACTTTCATATTCTTTCTTGATGTGTTTATTTACAACAATTCGTATTAAAATCATCTCACCACTTATAACGAAACATCAAATGGAAAAATCCAAAAGTACACATGTTTTTAAAAAAAATTCCCAAAATACATAAGTTATAAAAAATTTCCAAAACTAGACATGTTTGGTATTCACCGTTTTTTACAAACGCAGTGAAGGCTATCACCACATTTGACAAGCACGGTGAATAATTCACCGTTTTAAACCAAAACGGTGAACCATTCACCGTTTTTCTCTAAAACGGTGAACCAATCACCGCCTTAAATGAAAACGGTGAATATATCACCGTTTTAGTAGGAAACGGTGAATATATCACCTTTTTAGGGCAAAACGGTGAATACTTTCACCGTTCTAGGTTAAAACGGTGAGTATTAGGCACGTTTTCAACCCCTGTTAGGTGAAAATTAGGTATGAGCTATCTAATGTTCACCGTTTGAGACAAACGCGGTGATGGTGTTCACCGTGTTTGACAAAAACGGTGAACATTAGGCAGATTTTACTATAAATACCAACCCACCAGCACTTAAAGAAACAAAACCACTCCCCCCCTCTTCAAATTTTAGCAACCAAAACCGAGCATAATACACAGGCTGGGAATTTTTGGTATGATCTATTTTTCGTATTATAGGTTAATGATGGGTTTTTAGTAGTTATAGTATGATTTAATTTTTGTATTATAGCGTAATGATGTTTTTAGTAGTTATATTGTTATGTTATTATGAATTACTTATCGTAGCAATTGTAGTACTTAATTTTTGAATTTATGTTGTTGTTAGTTAGTTGAATTTATGTTACGTTAGTTATGAGATGGAGTAATATTAGTCGTACAATATGGTTTTGGTTAATTTTACTGTCTTTAAACTAATAGTTTAACTTGTTGTAAATTGTATATATTGGTAAATTCAAGAAGTTTCGGCTTATTATTCGGTGGAATGGAAGGGTGACAAACTCTGACATAGGGATTGATTATGAGAACGGTGAATCCACTATGCTGAAAAATTGAGTCGCGATTCAATTTTCAAGAACTCCGTGATATTTGTGCAGACATGGTTTGTACGAGCGGACAGACGAGACTTGGCAAAATTAGTTACCGGTATCCAGACATGAGTGCTGGCGGGGTTGTGTACCAAGAAGTTGTCATAAACGATGATGACGCGGTTACGATGATGTTGGAGTTCCTAAGCGATAATGGGATGCGGCTTGCAGAGGTGTATGTTGAGACCGAGGCGGTCGGTGAAACTCATTCTCACCAGTATTCTTATGATGATGGTTTTACAGGAGGGTACGGATGGGGTGGTAGTTCGAGCAACTACGAAGGAGGTGGTTATACAGGAGGTTATGGAGAGGGTGGTAGTTCAATAAACTACGGTGGAGGTAGTAGTGCAGGATGGGTGCCGTCGGAAGAATACTCGTAACAGGATCAACCTGCCGATGGCGTTCAATGGCCTGCTTGGGGGCCTGAGTGGGCTGAAATCGAGAATACCATTCGAGCAGGGCATACTTCAGTTGAGCGAGAAGACGATGTTGGTGATGGTTGTCATGTTGATCCTTCTGGGCCGAGCTATCCATTTGACTCAAGCGACGAGGATACTGAGGAAAATTTGAGATCAGTGAGCGAGGAGGAAGATACTGAGGATAACGACGACGAGGCGACATTTCGTGAGGCACCCACACCATACTACACACAGGTTCCAACTCAATTTCTACATAGTCAGAATGATGCCCCCGACTTTGTCCCTATGCCAGTGTATAATCCGACGGCCGATTTGGAGGTGGGTATGACGTTCTCATCGAAGGACGCTGTGCAGGATGCCTTTACCGAAGAGGCCTTGAGGCGCAACTTTGAGTGGAAGGTAAAATATTCTGACAGTAAACAATTACATGTCATATGCAAGAATGATGCAGAGGGCTGTACGTGGGAACTGCGGGCTGCAAATATGAAGAGAAAGGGTGCCTGGGTGATTCGAAAAGCCGAGACCAACCACACTTGCTCCTCGTCCATACGTTCCCATGATCACAAGCAACTTAAAGCAAAGAAAATTGGGAGAACTATTAAACACCTTATCGAAGCACAACCAGATATCAAAGTCAAAGCTATCATGGCCGAGGTGAAGGATCGACATTCTTACACGATAAGGTACAAAAAAGCATGGCATGGAAAGCAGAAAGCCATGGCTGAGGTGTATGGTGATTGGGAGGATTCGTATGCTTTACTCCCTAGACTTATGGCCACAATGGAGGTGTCAAACCCTGGGACTGTTTTCGTGACTGAGGATCAAGTTCGAGTACAGGAGAAGTTGATGTTTCACCGTATTTTTTGGGCTTTCAAACCATGCATTGACGGGTTTGGGTTTTGCATACCGGTTATTCAGGTATTTTAATACGTGTTTACTATTTGAAATGTTTCTATTCTTGCAGACCAAGTAAATTTCATACTAATTACTTCCTAATACGTGTTTACTATTAGGTTGATGGAACCTTCCTTACTGGGAAGTACAGAGGAAATCTTCTCATTGCCACTGGCGTTGATGGAAACAGGCGGATTTTCCCCCTTGCATTTCCAATAGTGGAAGGGGAGAACAGCTTAAGTTGGGCATGGTTCTTTGACCAACTACACGAGCACGTGACACAGCGGGAGGGTATTACGATTATATTCGATAGACACGCGGGGATTAGAAATGTCGTGGGTGGTTTTCCTGACGAGTGGGGATGGACATGGCGCTGGTGTATTCGACACTGGCTTGCCAACTTCCAACACAAATTTGGAAAGAAGAAAGACAAAAAATCAATTGTGGCATGCAGGTACTAATGTCCTTTAATGCGAGTTATCTATGTGTTTAATAATTTGTTGTTTATCATGTATTGACCATTTCTATATTGTTCACCTTGCAGCGGTTGCACATCAGCCAAAAAAGTACGAGCTGAAGATGAAGGTGATCCGTCAGACTCACCGAGCTGGAGCAGTATGGGCTGAAGGTCAAGAATTGGCCATGTGGACGTTCCATATGGACAACGGGGCCAGATGGGGCATTGCAACTACCAACCATGGAGAAAGTATAAATAATGTGTACAAGGGCCTTCGAGCGATGCCTATTTTTGTCATAGTGGAGATGTCATACTGGAAGGTCAACGAGTGGCGGGTGGCTCGGCTGCAGCTAGCGATTGGGAGGGAGATATCTGGTCATCCGATAGCACATGACGTTTTTGAGCAAATGCAGAAGAACGAAGAAAAATCAAGTAAGCATAAAGTTGTTCTTTTCGATCGCAGTGAAGGGATATTTGCAGTGGAAACAAGTGTATGGGGTGGAGGTAGACGTGGCCACAATCGTCAAACGGTTACTCTGCACTACGAATCAGGGGAGTGTACATGTCAAAAATATCAAAATGAGAGAATCCCTTGTTCACATGCAATGGCAGTAGCTAAGTCATTAACCATGAATAGAAACACTCTGGTGAGTCCTTACTACACTGAACAGGCGATACGGAACTCATATGATGCAGCTTTGAGTCCCATGCCAGATGAAGCGTATTGGCCTATATACGCTGGGAAGTTGATTATCCCACTGTTGCACCTAAAACGCACAAAGGGTTGTCCTAGAGTTGAAAGGATACACAATGAGATGGATCAAGTTGAACGCATGAGGCGGGGACCGAAGCGATGCTCAAAGTGCAGACAACCTGGTCATGACAAGAGGCGTTGCCCAGGCCAACCACTCCAGCATGATGCGGATATAACCGAGGACCAATGATGTACAAGACATCTATCTTAATATTCATTTACTTGTAATGATGTACTAAATTGTAAGCTTGTTTGAATTTTCATTACCCCGTTGTTTAAAACACTCTGTTTAATTTTCATTACCCCGTTGTTCACTAAAAAATGTTCTCCTTGTCGATACGATCGCGTAGCCGCAAACGGCTCGTTATTTCGACGCCAAACGAATAAGATACGTTCGTTTTAGTTTTAGGTACGCAAACGTTACTCTAACGACATGTGCAGCTTTGAACTAACTTATCTCACTCGTTTTAAATCGGAATTGAGATCTGTAAAATTCTACATGATCGTGATTGATTTTCCCAAGTTTTTTGTGTTGAGCTTAGATTCTAATTCTTGATAAATTGATCCAGAAAAATAAAACAAGAAATGTCATCAATAAAGTGTTTCAATGACAACTTAAGTGCGTAGGATAGTTTTTAGACAATGCAAACTCAAATCACAAGACCTAAAAATTTTAAAAACAACATGGATAACTCAACGACAATGCAAACTCAAACTCAAATCACTGGTTTTCTTCATTTGGTTGCCCCTCATTTTGGCCCTCCGCTCGCCCTCCTCCTCGTCCTCCACGACGTCCTCGACCCCTTCTTCCACCTCCTCCTTCTGCTTCTTGGCGGGCTCGCTCAACGACTTGTCGCGGATTTCTCTTAACCCGAGCCCCTACTGGAGTTACAAGTGGCGGTGGAGGGGGCTGAGATGGACCGGTAGCCTGCTGGTAGATCGGGCGGTGAGGGGTTTGTTGATGCGGGGTGTGATACATCGAACTCTGTTGCTGATGGTGGAAATGGGCAAAATTTTGTTCACTCTGAGATGAACCTCCAGCGACATCCGATGCAGGTGCCCACTCGTACTCAAATGGTTCAGGGAGCTCGGTTTCTTGAGTTGTACGCACCTCTTCGAAAGTAGGGAGAGGCCTGCGTTTGCTCCTTCGTGGGGGCTCAACCGGGGGCACAATGGGCTCACCATCACAGAATGATAGGCGTGCCGGAGCGGGAATGGGAGGATAGGCCACGACATCCCTCCTTTGCTCTCGAGTACAACTCAAGAGGTTGTTCATAAGCCTTCGCAGCCAAGAAGTTTTCGGCTCATCCATGCTTGGAGCACTATCGAGGGTGTGTTTGGCGTGTTCCAAACCATCAACCTAAGCAATCCACATAATAAAACAATTATTAATTAAACCTTAAAACAAAATAATTAGAGTCACGCGGGAGATTAGGATCACTTACCAACGAACCCATCACAGCACCTTGCTTTGACACCCATCGATTGGTGAACTTCCGATACCACTGCATGTACCCATCGTGGTAGCCCATCGGTCTCGCCTCCGGCATCCCTTGGACCACCCATGTCCTTCTATTCTCCCATATGTTGATGTAGTACTGATGCTTTAGGATCCAATTCTTTGAGGCGTGTCGGAGGTCGATGGCATGTAGCTCCCTGAAACCCTGAGGCGGGGTTTGTGGAATTGGTTGCTCCATTCGATATTGCCTCAAGGATCGATCGGGTAGGTGCCACTCCACGATGTGCCAACAGATCAATGGCACCTTGCACAACCACGTCTCGTGATCCAGAGGGTTTCTAAGATGATGCAGTTTGACCACTTCACGTGGATATGGATCCCAAGTAACCTATATTCATTCAAATAATGCAATTAGCAACCATTTACCTTGAAACTTGTTAAAATATGATAAAGCATGATTACCTGATTCCACCAAGGCTTATCTAACTCAGAACGATAAAACAGTAACGAATGCTCAGGTTGATGGTCATTCGCATTTGCTCCTATCCACCTTGTAAGTAAAAGCATGGAATAAATTGAAATTAGGCTAAGTACGGATTAAATTTATTTTAAATCTAGCTAAGCATGGTATAAATTGAAATTAGGCTAAGTACGGATTAAATTCAATTTAAATCTAGCTAAGCATGGTATAATTTAAAATTAGGCTAAGTACGGAATAAATTCAATTGAAATCTAGCTAATCATGGAATAATTTTAAATTAAGCTAAGTACGGAATAAATTCAATTGAAATCTAGCTAATCATGGAATAATTTTAAATTAAGCTAAGTACGTAATAAACTTACTTGACACCGTAAGGGGGATATTGCAGAAAGTTTAGCTCATCATCGGCTCTCCGGTATGGACGTGGGTCTAGAGGTGCGAACATTGGAAGATGCTCCCATACCCACAGCTGTAGGATGAACATCGCAACACCAGCTTGTTTTGCTCCCACCTTCGAGCAAGTGCACAGCTCCCGGTATATGCCAGCTAACACGGCCAATCCCCAGCTCTTTTCCCCGATTGCGTCCCAGTCACCAGTGAGCAATGGCAACCATATGCCTTGAATCCACCGGTTTGACTTGTCGGGGAACAGAAATCCACCCACCAGACCAATGAGGTAGATGCGTGCATAGCGCTCCACTTGATCTTCCGGAGTCTCGTCATTGATTTGCACCTCATTCTGGATGTGAGCTACCAGCCACGGGACCGACACTTGTCCCGCATTCAACGGTGGATGCCCCCGTCCTTGAATTGGTGTGGTGGTCGGCATGTCAAATCCCAACTGAGCAAGAATGAGCGGCCCCCAACCTCCTTCGGGTTTGGTAGTGGGCCTAATGATGGCATCTCCAGTAATCGGCAGCCCGGTGAGGATCGCCACGTCTTTGAGGGTGATCGTCATTTCCCCCTCCGGAAGGTGGAATGTATGGGTTTCGGGACGCCATCGCTCCGCCATTGCTGTAAGCAGATCGTTGTCGATTTCGATCCGCATGAAATGGCGCAACATACCCAACCCGGTCCTCTCTATATAGGGCGCCAACCGTGGATGCCAAGGGGGCAAGATTGTGGTCCCTTTATGAACGACGGGAATAAGTGATTCCTTCAAAAAAAATAGGAAAAACATCAATTTGTTAGTTTAAGTAAAGCAAAATAAAACCTTAGAAAATAATAAAATAAAGCAAATAAAACATAAAATTACCGGATTGTTATCCCAAATAGCACGGGAGCGATGAGCTTCTTGATCGGTTAAGAGTCTCATATCTCTTGCCCATAATGGATATACAATCGAGGATCGTATATCTCGGCACCCATCTATAAAAAAAGTAATCAAATCAGAGATTGTTTTGATAAAAAAAATCACAAAATCAAATTGTTACGATTAAAAATAAGAACACAAAAAAAACCTACACGAAGAGCCTCTTCGTCCATTTTTTGGCAGAAGCCGGACAGAGGTTCGACGGGTTCAGGTTTGTAAGGGACGGGACCTTAGTGGGACGGGGGCTTTAGGGTCAAACTCTAGTAATTCTTTCTGATGTGGAAGATCGGATTTATCCGCAACCACAGAGCATACTTAGAACGAGACTAGAGCGGATAAATTGAGGGAGAAAGAAGTGAAATGGTTGTGGTGTGAGTTGTAAGTGGGGGGGTGGGGGGGGGGGGGGAGAAGGGTCTATTTATAGTTGGGGGGAAGTGATCAGCCAAGGAAAACTGGGGAGCATTCACCGCCTCCCTCAGAAACGGTGAAGTGATCGCGTTTCTCAAGGACGGTGAAAGGGCGCGGATCGAGCGACGTGGCTTAGCGTGAAGCGTCGGATCTGGGAAGAAAACCTCGATTCGCGCCTCACCGCATCCGACGGCCACGATGAACGCGCCAGCGACGCGGATCGCTGACGCAAACAAACACGGGGTATTCACCGTGTTTGTTTAACGCGGTGAATACACCGCGTTTGTCCACGTCAGCGATCCGCTTCGCTTCATCGTGGCCAATCACAGCGGTTTAAATGTCACCGCTTTTATTTTAAACGGTGATTGATTCACCGTGTCCGTCTAAAACGGTGATTGCCTCGCTGGTTGTTCACCGTTTTAGATGAAGACGGTGAATACGTCACCGTTTTTTTTAACGGTGAATTATTCACCGTGTTTGACAAAGGCGGTGATTATATTCACTGCGTTTGTCAAAAACGGTGAATGCCAAACATGTGTATTTTGGAGAAAAAATTTATAACTTATGTATTTTGGGAATCTTTTTTAAGAACATGTGTACAGTGGGATTTTTTCCACATCAAACTCGCTCTTGTATTTGAATTTTTTTTTTATCCAAAATCCCGTTAATTCCAATCTGACCGATATGAAAGATCGGTCTTATCCACAAAACTGATTTTGCTGAAAATACTTTAGTTGGTTGGTTTTTTCACCCAAATGGCAATGTGTTTTCTTATAGCATCTATCTTGGTTCAAGCTAATGGTGATACAAAAACAGAATATGTATGTTGGGCCCTTTTCGAGCCGGACAGTCAAACATGGTCCTGATAGATAGATAGATAGATAGCAGCTATTTAATTTCTAGTGGTACAGTTTTGGGGTAATAGTTATGACGTTAGGCAGACACTTTTTTCACCTTCTATCCCTTTTTGGTACATGTTCTTAATTTTATAGAGTTCACTTTAGAAACGCCCTCTAGGCCCGAGTCCGTTCTTTGTGGTCCTGAGATCCAGTCACGGCCACCCAGAAAACGAGAATTTGCGGGCCCAATACTGTGGTCCAGATCCAATACGCCATTCTAAACTTATCACAATTTTTCTGCTGTGCCCAACATAATAATTGTGCAAGTGCAACTTCATTAACCAGCATGCTTTTACAAAGCTTGATGCCTTTTTTTTTAATAGAGGCCCTCCCTTATCTTTGCTATTTCTACTTTGATGAAATACTGCACCTTGTGGGCGAATATATTCTTCTTCTTTCTAAGAAAGCATTACAAAGCGCGTTGATCGTGGTTGTACTCTCGAAATATTTAGGAATTGAAATTGAGATAATGAAATTATTTAGGAATTGATATTGAAATGATTTTAGAATGCGGTTTGATATTCAAGATTTTAGTATTTGGTATTATGATATCGATACCGTACCGATTTAGAAGTACATCTATTCTTTCACTAAAAACGGTGATTAATACTCTTATGATTATATATAAAATAGCGGGCCATTTTTCTTCTAGAGAACATTTACAACCATCTCCCCCTGCCTGTATTCAGCTCTGCTTGGGCCAGCCTTCAAGGCCCAATACCATGCAGCTGGTGTGCAAAAAGTGAATGGAATTTTTTATAACCGGACCGGATGCTGAACCAGAAAAGTTAGGGGTCGTTTGGATTGAGTATTTGGGGGTGTTGTTTGGTGTCAAATAACAGATTTTGTGTTATTTGACCTCAAATAACATGTTTGGCTGACAAAAAGTGGGATGCGTTATTTGGATGTAAGTGTTTTGCCAAATAACAGGTTTGAGACCAAATAACACAAAAAGTGTTGTTTGCCAAATACTTGGGAGGGGGCAGGTATTTGCCAAATAACAAGTTTGAGACCAAATATCACATACCAAATAACAGGTTTTATATTATGTGGTATTTGTGTGGTAATTGACCCCAAATAACAAGTTTGTCAAATACTCAATCCAAACGACCCCTTAGTAGTTTAGCGTTTAGTGATTAATCGTTATAGCAGTTGGTTAAGCGTTGATAGAACTGTTCATGAGTATAAACAATTTCAAATTCATATTATCACCAAAATATCTAACGAATCATTCAAACCATCTCACAAAAGAAATCATTTTTTTTTTAATTCAAGTTGAAAATTATGGTGCCAGTCGGTAGAGGGCAACGTAAAGTCGACAACGAGGTTGGAAAATGAGAAGAGTAAGCATAAATAAAATTAATAATTCTGATTTGATGGTCTTAGTTTACGTTAAAGTATTTTTTTGAAAAGTTTGTGGTTATAATAGTGAGCTAGTGGATCAGTTAAAATGGTTCATCTGGTTTTATGTCGAACCGTGAGAAACTATTTGTCCATCAATAATCGTCCAAGCAATGAACCAGACCGCTATCGTAACTAGTTTGGTGGTTCTATTGGCCCATTTGTTAATCCGTTAAGGTTCTTATAAAAATGGTTTTAGGATATATCGCATATGGCCCGACTTTTAGACTAGTTTTTACACTTCAAAAGTTGAAGGCGTGTCGAATACTTCTATACGCTCGGTTTTTTAAAAGCTTGAAAGTGTTTTCTTATAAAATAAAAGCAAAAGTTTTGATGATTTGTTTTCTCATATTTATGGGTGGGCAACGGGACGGGAGAGGATACTCGTCCCATTTAAAACGAGTACCCGATCCCATTTGAAGAGCAATCTCCATCTCATTTTCTAAACCCATACGGGTTAACGAGTACCCATTACCTGTATGGGACGGATAACGAGTACCCATACTACCCGTAAATACCCGTACAATTGGCGACAGTTGGGAGTAGCACCGTTGACTGCATGAAAAAACAATTGTGCAAACCTTACGTGCAAAATACTGTCAAGCAAACTTGCCCAAAAAATGAAGCAATGTTCTTTTCTTACTGGTGCTTTTTCCCCATGAAATTACCAGAGCTAAGAGAGATTTGTGGTAAGAGTGAGTGTCTCGTACTCTTCTGCTACCCAATTATATTTTGAGCACTTCTGCTCAATTAACCTTTGCCATTTCTGATGTACTCAATTTATTTAACTTTGGATTAATAATGGGTATAACGGGTACCCGTAATACCCAAACGGGTATTAACGGGTAACCCGCGGATATCCAAAGTAGCAATTTTTTATCCCAATTCCCTTCCCGTTAAATACATTACGAGTATTTGGGTATCCGTAACCCTAGGGCTGACAATTCGGTTATTTCGATTATAACCGGTAACCGATTTGCCGGTTATCGGTTAACCGAAATAAACACCCCCTTACCGAAAACCGACCGAAATAGGCTTCGGTTTCTCGGTTACCTCAGTTATCGGTTAACCGAACCACTTTTAAGACCAAAAACCATTTTGGCCAGCTTCCGATAACCGACCGAAGTTCGGTTACTTGGGTTACTGGTTAGTGGATAACCGGGCGGTTATCGGTTTAACCGGTAACCGGCCAGTTATCGGTTTAACCGACCGGTTAACCGGTAACCGAACTGCCACCCCCACGTAACCCTAAAAAATGGAACGGATACGGATATACCCAAATACCCGTTTCCTGTTGCCCACCCTACTCATACTAAGCCCTGATTTCACCCTTAGTCGACGAGTCTTCTAACCTCCACAGCAATTAGCAAACAAAGCAATGGTGGGTTCATAATTAGTTTTGGTTGCTAAGCAGCCAAATCAATATAATATATCATGATGTTCATGTCGATACATAAGCTGTAATGTATTAAAAAAAAAACAAAAGAAGACAAAAAGGAAACCAAAAAAAAGTTGAGAAGTCGTTGTCTAATTAAGCTGGAGAGCATTATGAATGTGGTTACGAGGTTGGTCTGTTCATAATTAGTTTGGGTCAAACTTGCAATCATAAGATTTGGTGTGCCATTTGCATCGAGGTTGATTCATTTCCTTGTCAGCATGCTTATTTGAGCATTCCAAATCTTCACCATATCTAACCCCACATAGAGATTTCAACGATTCTTGTTGTTTTTGTTTCTATGATGATACAAAGTGCTTTATTGAAGTTACATAAATGTAGTGCACCACAATAGTTAATTTAAGTGCGTGAAATGTTTTACAGAGATCAAGAAAATCAAACTCATATTTTGTTATGTAAACATTATTACGAAGGATGTCCGTATTTCAATCATGTTAACATTCGATAGACCATGAGTCATATAATTTTATGAATATTGAAGTACACTTATTATTTTACAAAAAATGTTTAGTATGATATTTGGTCTCGACAACTTATTGGTCTTAGAATCAAATAATTGAATTGTAGTTGACCCAATCGACTCGCATAAACCTCAGGCTACTTAATACACTTGTGCAATACGAGGAACATGATCATGACTAGCGCCTAGTTCTAATAACCGAATCCTACGACTTTCGAAAGCGATTGGACTGATCTTTCCGAATTGGTAGTGCTATGGAATTACTGTCGCTACATTTTTTTTTTTTTTTTGCTTGTTAGGTATAATTATTTTCAACATTATTTCAGTAACGAAGAATGGGAATGAAGCGAGAAGGAAAATAAAATCGAACATAAAAGCTAATAATTTTGGTGATTCATGCTAATTGGTGATAAAATGAGGGGAACTTTGCTTTATTTAACATCTAACAAGATTGTTCATGATTCAATTAGAAGTGGTGTAAGATTTGTGGGGTTGATCAACTATAATTTTCCTAGCTTAAGTCTTTGTCCAAGCATATACTCAAACAGGCACACTAGAGAATCTAGGCCACTCTATGAAAGTATGACAGAGTTAGAGTGGAGCTTCTGATAACTTACTTTATTAGTGCTATAATAAATCTTTCTTTCTTCGTTTATCACTATGATATTTGTTTTATGGCGCACGCCAATCTTAATCCCAATGATTAGCATTCAAAATCAACTGATCACACTCACTCCATTGTGGACTTATCACTTGGTGTTCTCTGTT